GAAAAGCTGGTCTCGGGAGAGAAGTGCTTCTTTCTCAAAAATTGAACTTGTGAGTTTTATTGGTAATTTAGAACTTTGTGAATTAACGTCTGTCCTTTGTTTGCAACACGTAACCTGATTATCAAAGTCACCTTTAGTGCTCTTCGATGCATTGAATTTGATTTTTGCTAATGGCGCCATCTGGCGGGGCTTTTAAAAGTAAGTGTTTTCAGAAGTAGATATTTGCCGAAGAAACAGGAACTTTCTGAGGTAACTGTCAAGATTGGTCGGATTAAGAAAAATTGAAAAAATATTTCAAGGCACTTAGAGAAACTTGTTAAAAATTTTGAAACATATTGTTAAATAGAGAAATGTCAAAACGCAAAATATAAAATAAATACGAACAAAAGAGTAATGAAATCGTTGTCTAAATATTGTCGAATTCATGATGAATAGTTGAAATCAGAGAAAGACTGTGTATTAACTATGATATTCATGATGAACATGATTTGTACTCATTATGACAGTAACTCTTTAATTCCATACACGTTATAATCGAGCTCTTCTGTATCTTACAGTAAAGGAGCAGTAGTTTCGAAGAAAGGCTTAGTTCAATCTTATTAAGACTACAAAATGAAAATGAGATAAATATTAGCATTTCAATATTGAACACTAAAAAGAAATTTTGCTACGAAAAATCTGAGCAACAACATTGAAACTAATAAAATATTTAATATCTAATGAAGCTGAGGAAAGAAAGTTGATCTCAATTAATTCTGTTATGGAGAAGTCATATCCAGTGTGTTAAACTGGTGAGCTTGGAGCTAGAAATTAAGACTTCGCTACTTGCGGTTAGTAGGTAACAGTAAGTTGAATTTATAAATTTAAATTACAAAACTCGCAGCTAGAGACTAAAATATAAATAAGCGTTGGCTCAAATTTCTAACTGCGCGATCTAACTTCGGCTAGCAAAATGGCAAATGCCAGAAAGCTAATATATCAGAGCTGAGCGGGAGAAAATACAGCGGCGAGTGTCCCTTCCAAAAGCTATATATCTAATTTCCCAAAACCTCATCCTTAAATTGTAGTTAACTGATTTGCATCCTGATGAGAGCTAACGAAAAGAAGAAGCGAGAGTGCAGATTTAAATCATCAGAAAATAGGTTAATTAACTCTGCAACTATGTTGTAAACCAAATCGATAAGTTAGAGAAATTAAATTTTTACATACAGTTAATTGGAGAATATTATATGGACTCTGAGTTTCTAAATCATCCTTGTTGTAAGTATATATTTGCTGTTTACAGCCATCAACAGCCGACATTGGTAGTTCTACTGGAATTGATTATTAAGATATTGTAGCGAAATTAGAGAAAGATAATGCTGTTGCGTTTAGTAGCGATTCAAAGTTGTGGGGAAAGAAATAAGCCAAAAGGCCTCAATGGGTCGCCAAAAATACGTGGTATGGCTTTAAAGGAAAAGTACTAAAAAAAGCCCTACTAAATTACAAATACACCATGTTAAGAAAATTTAGCTGTCAAATCGATATATAATGCTATCTGGAAACGAGATATTGCACTTCGGAAATTGAATTTTGATGGTAAATGGCATATGCTCTTCCTTTATTGTACCTTTTTATCCCATGCATATTTTCTATTCACAGCAAAATTTACTATTAGTACTCTTATTATTCATTTTATTACCTAAGTTACTATTATGGCGCTAAGAGTTTTATATTAAATCCGAGTAAAGGAGTTTAAATTAATCCGAGTTTTATATTAAATCCGAGGCTTTTACTAAGGAGCCCGTCAAGATTCCTCATAATAAAGAGCTGTTTGACTAATGACTGTAGTTGATATAGTTCGGTACTGTAGACACAATTCAGTACAGTTCAGTACCGTGAGAAAGTTACTGTTTTACTTATCTTGCAATTCCCATTTGCTTGTTTTCTTGGTTTTTTGCCACGTGCACCTCTTGAAAGTCTGTCGCTTGGGGCTTGCTGTGATGGGCAGCAGTTAACGGAGATTTGAAAATATAATGGTCAGGATCCCCTCCTCGTATATGTAGTTATCGTTAAGGGAGAGATTTCTTTTGTCGGAAGGGATCGTGCCCGATCAAATATTAATTTAGAAAGAAATTGTTCTCTCCCTATCGATTTCGTGAAATTCGTCTTCTACCTTGACAGTCAGCTTGCAATTGTTTATGTTTTCCATCTGATTGGTAAGATATGCTCTTGGCCATTTTATGTCTAGGGGGTGTGACATTAATGTTCTGGACCCCTTCTTTTGCAAGTTAGCATGTGTATTCGCTACCATAGATGCTATAGATGCTTGTCTGAGCTTTCACTAAATCTTAATGTAAAGTTGAAAATTGTTACTGATTATTGGAAATGTTTTTTCAACTATGGTTAAGAATGCTTCATATTAGGAAGTGTATAAAGCGCTAAAAATAATCAGATTTTTATGATTAGTTTTAGAAAACTGTATGTTGTTGCATATATAATTACTGATAGTGTAGCTTGGAATACAGTATTCTTGGGCTTTAAGAAACCCTTCCATATGATATGTTCTTTCAGTGGAATGAAAATCACATATGCATGTGTCCAATTTTCCATCTACATTCAGCCGTCACTAAATGCCCAGGTGAGATGCAGTTGTGGTCACTGTTCATGGAAATTATTTTAACTCCAGTCGATGCGAAAAATGTCTCATTCATGAAAAGTAATTATCGTTATTCTCCAGAGCAAAGGTTAGTGTCCCACTCCAGTTGTAATACTACTGGCATGTTTACTTCTTTCACTGACGGTATATATAAAATTGGGATACCTGGTAAAATACACATATCATATTTAGAAGTAAGTTTGGCCTATGGAATTTGGAGAAGAAAAGAAATTATTATGGCTTGCAACTGCTTTTTCTTTCTTTCGTTCATTGGAAGAGTAGTTTTCAGTAGTTCACATTGCGCACTATTACAGTTTTATGCATAATTGTCTGGGTATGGAGATTTACTTTCCAATTTGAGCCTCGCATGCGTTCGAAATTTTCCTATATTTTTAGTTTTCCCCTAGTTAGGCAATATGTTGGAAACTTGGGAATTTTTTATCGATGATGATTCCCAAGAATTTCATTTGGAGAACAATTTTTTTGTTTGTTTTTCCCTTGGATTCTAAAAGTGGGATTTTTTTGCCATTGCCCGGTTTATGAATGGTCATATCTCTCGATTTTTAATTCCGGTTTCTTCAGCTTTTGTTTTGCACATAAGTTTTATACTATTTGAAGAGAGATAATAGTATTTTTCTGCAGAAGTATCTCTTATTCTTCAGCAGATAACTAGGCCTGAAACATCTGCAAAAGCATACACTTGAGCGTGGGAAGGAAATTGATTGGCTGTTAATTTATTAACTGCCATGTTCTAAAGGTCTACGCTTAAACAAGAGGCTTGCGATTGTCCTCTAGACTATGAGCTTTCTATTATCCCACTGCTGTAGATAATTTTGCATTTTCTATTAGCAAAATAGTTGTTAAATAAAATAATAAATCCTTTGGACATTCCATACTTCGCAAGGACTATAGAACCACTGGCCCAACCATGGGAAGTCAAATGTGCTTTCATACCTATTAATAAAAATTCATATTTTCGGTGTCGTCGAATAACACCCCTTTAATTGGCGCCCACTTTCGGAGCAGCTGTTATAGTTCCGCTTCCGCCGGCCCTGCATATAGGTATGTAACAAATCATATGTACATATAACAATCATAATATAGGTAATCATATGTAACAAACGCCGAAAACAGCTGCTTTTAAAACAACAGAAAAACTGTAGTCAATATTTGGTGAAAATGTGCTGTTTCTTGCAAGAGTTAATGAGGATGCTAGTAATAACAATAATAAGAAGAAGAATAGTAATAATTAGCATAAAGAACCATTGTGGAAAATTTCACTTTCTTTAGTACTTGTTACGATTATACGTAATAAACAGAAATTATTTAATTTTAACACTTTAATAATTAGAATGATATTTTAATTGGCAAGGCGTTGTAAATTATTTTGGCTTAAATACAAACTGTCAAGATATGTGCGGATACTATATTTATGTATTTTAATTAAATAGAAGTTCTAAACACAGGATTTAAATACATATACATACTACCACCTTTTGGTTAATATTGTACAAAAACATTATTGTAAATTGAAATAAAAACTTGAGATTTATTTGAATATTACTTAGATTGCAAAGTAATTTCATCTGAAGTTCACCCTCATAATAGTGCATACAAAATAAATTGACTGCATTAAACTATTTGCAAACACAAACACATCATGTTGTAATTCAAAGGTAAAGAGTGGATTTATTGGAGTAGAGCTGTTGAACGCATGTTTATCTAACATAAATCACTAATGTTACATTCTTCCTAAAGGTGAATAGAAGTCAGTGATAAAACGTTCAGAAAAATTTCGTAATCAAAGTCAAATACAAAAGTGTGGAGTCAAGTAGTTGGCAATATTTCATATATCACCTAACAAACTTAGTTTGTTAGTCTCCATATAAAATTAAATAAGCTGGAGTTAAAATAATATTCAGTGAAAACGTAACTTTTCGCTAAAATCTCATTTTTAATCAACAGACAACGAAACAATGTTTGTAATAAGAGTAAGGACTAATAAACAATTAGAAAATAAGCAGTAAAATAACATGTATGAAAAAAATGCAAAAGAAATTAGAGAAATAATAATAGTATAAGATTGTGAATTTCGCTTTATTTCGAAGATTATTTACATTATGAATTTTCAGATTTTTTTCATATATAGTTAGAGTTTTTACATATATATTTAAATTCTAAAGGAGTGAAATACATATGAACGTAACATTAATGTTAATCAATATGGAAATACAAAGGAAGCAAAGTTATTTTGGAGAAAAATATCTCTTATTTCAAGTAATACTTTTATAAAAATAAAAATGTAATTTATTAACCTTGTTTTATGTGTTTAATGTAATGCAAGGAAGAAATTCAAGAGTCGTAAAGTATTTAATATTTTAATGTAAAAATATTTACAACATTTTCTTGCAAAATGCATATATCTTGATATTGTATTAATAGTAAAAATTAACTCAGTCCCTAAAATCAACAAAGAATAAATAATGGAGCTTAAGATAATTATTTACTAAAGCATTAAACGTACTCAGCTTTAACTTTGTAAGTTCTTTTCCATATGTCACAAAGGCAAACTGTTGAGTGGAACCGGAAAAATATCGTGAGTGGTGTTGTTACATGAGTAATAATTGTCCATGCCCAAAATCCATAAAATTCCATTTGCACTGGATTGGAATCAGCTCGGCGAGTTTCTAATGTATTTATTGCCCACATAGCGAAATTACAGACAAGAAGGAAGGTAACCATTTCTCGCCCGGGTTTACGATGTGCTTGATCACTATTGCCGGCGCATCTTCTTGAAGCATCAAGGATGAATATTGTCTGAAATGTTCCTTGAATAAGACATACCAGCGCTGTTAATAACACTAAAATCGTGTTTTGATCCATGGTAAAATGACCTCCTATTACACTAAACATGGTGAAAAGATACAATCCACTTTGAGCCACTACAAGAAGAATGCTGTCCAGTTCCATTATTTGATGAGGATTGTATTTCAACTCTCTAACTTGGACAAGCGCAATTACTACTGCTAATGTCGTAAGCAGATATAGTACTAGCTCTGCTATGTGCGCTTCAAGTATTGCTAAATACTTGTACTGAGGCTTATTTATAAGCACAAAAAATATGATTAGGCAAATAATGGACAATACGAGCACAATAATACCAGTAAAAAGACCTTTGTTTGCTTTTGCACAGTCAACTTGGTAATAATGCCTATGACGTGTTCCGTGAACTAATGCATTGCTCAGACTTGCACTATCCATTGCACTTGATACTTGTCGAAACTGTCCGATATTCTTCCACATGACATAGAGGATAGCTGCGCATATTAGGCTGTACTCGATGGTGCATGGGAATAGAAATGGGCTAGCGTTTTGCACAAGCTCCCCCATTATATTCAAACGCCTGCAGCCATGGCTCATGTAGATTCCATGCATATCTATGGACCGAATTACTCTATGATGTCCACTGTGATTGAAATTCTCCGACAGATCCTCAGCAATAGGTGAAAAGTAATCTTGCTCTGAAAGATAAATATATTATATTTGAGAGAGCATTGAAATACAAACAATGCTTTGCATCTACTACGGAACAAACTATAGTATGATACGATTTCTCGACTAACATTATAATATTGAAAGATGCTAGTATACATATAACATAATTGCACTATTCTTTAGCATTGCATTTACCTAGTTCCCTAAAATCTTACTGGAGTTCTAAAATATTGGGAATGTACACATTTTTCTACAGTATAAACGTAAACTCAACTCTTGATTAACCAGAAGGGGTCTAACTAGTCCTGTCTAATAGAAGTTAATATTGTTTATTGTGAAATGACGGGGAAATTACTGTCACAAAACATCAATGTAAAATTGTGCAATGATGTATAGTTTTACAATTGCAATAATTTTACAATTGTAAAATTATACACTTAATGGCCCATACATCAGAAGCCATCATTATAAAATCAGTAAGATATTATAGATTGAAATTACAAAAAGAAAAAGAAAATGTGCGTGATACCAGTAATGACAGCAGACAATATCACAGCTCTTTATAATTTAGTTTTCCATTTCTAGTGAGATTTATTTTGCCTTCTTTTTGTTTAGAATACCGGTTTAATTTGTGTAACTAAACACATTTATTTTCCACACATTTATTATACTGCTGGCAAATACAGGCAAATTGTTACCAGTATTTTTCTGTTAATTATACGAGTAATATAGGTTATTCCTTTTTCTTATGTCTCTTTAACGTTATTCAACACCGGTAACGACTGTAATTTTAATTTCATTCATCTTCTGCACGTATTCAATAAAAATACTGATCACAAAAAATAGGTCGGCTGAAAGTAAAATAGAATGGACGCCTTAGTGGAATACATTCTAATGAAAAATGAATTTTATTCACCCACTCATAATATATTCCACATATTCCATATCAGTATTTTTGCGCAGAAGCTAATAAAATAATTAAAAAAAATTACTTTTCCTACTTTTACTTTTATTTATATCCAAATTTTTAAAACATTTTTACTCCTTTTATATACTGCCTCGCTCTATATAAGAAATGTGTTTTTGTCTAGCCCTATGTAAGGTAAGTGTTTTTCCCTAGTGTTTTCCTGTTTGTTGTCCGTTAAGATACGAAACAGATATTTTAGAAATATAAGACGTTGTCATAAGGTACACTTTTATCTTCTGAACAAGTTCTATGGAAATTAATAGGATGATTTATTTACGATGGGAAATATTTCTTTCAGTAGATGAAAGACGACTACCTGATGATATTTTTAGTCTTGCATACAACATTTTCTATATTATTTTATACTAATTTGTTGCAATATTAATTTATTGCATTATCTTTTCTACAAAATATTTTGTCAGCTATCTGTTAATGCACCACATTTGCTATAAAACATATATACGCATTGACAGTTCGTATGCAGTAATAATCAGAAAAGAAAGTATAAAGGAATATCTGACTAAACATCAGATTTAGAAAATAAAGTCCACACAATATCTGAGTCTCACGTTTCAAACCTAAAATGTAAATGCAATTATTTGAGCTGAAAATATTTGATATCCTTTCAGATTGTTGATCATGAAACAAAATATCTGAAGTATTCCTTAATAATAACTACTCGAGTTACATACCAGCATTTATTTAAGTTATACCAATGTGTATAAAAATATTTAATTAATTTAATTTCTTGCTAGCTTACATGCAATCAAGTGTTTAATTCTGCTGATAACAACTGAAATCTTGATAACAGTTTTATTATTATAAAGGAAATTATATTTATGTGTGTATATCTGTTTACCTGCTTATCTATATCTCAGAATCAATAGTTGAATTTTACTACCTAACATAACTCATTTTCAAACGTTACATACATGCACATTGAACAAAAGACTACACAAACTACTACTACAAAAAGAAGCATAGATATGAACATATTTTTTATTATCATTTCTGGACTTTTCATTGCTTTCTCTGAACACTTTTTCACATTAAACATAATTTTCATGTGTTCCATAATCAAGTATTATTATTTATCATTATTCATAAAGATTTACACATGTCCATGAAATTAGCATATACATTGCATTAGGGCTTACATTTAATAATATCTCATGATTCTGCTTGTTTGCGTCAGGAGTAGTAATTTATCGTGAACAGATTAAAATGTAATATCAGCGAATATTAATTCATCTGCTCTTCAACCTACTTTTACAAATAACCAAATGCAACTCATTTCAAATTATCAGTAATGCAACCTCCGTGATCCCATTAAAAAGTAATCTACTCTGCAGAAGATACTGAAGTGCAATAAAATAGATACTGCAGAATAAAGTGCCCTTAATTTTCCTCTATAAAGTTTTCTTCACGTGTAGCTCCCACTTAATTTCTTGTACTTTATTTCAGGCCTTTTTTCCGATTTATAGTGATGAGGTTTAATTTAGAGTTGCATTAAATATACTTTGGTATATGGTGGAAACAAAGCTTTAATGCTGATCATACTTCTATATTTTAACTTCTTGTTTGCTTTATTTTATAATTTTGGGTATTTGACTTTCAACATTTTGAAATTCCTTTCCCCGCAGTACAGACAGAAGAGAGTATTAGTACAGTCATATCTCGTTTCCTATGTTTACCACTTCTCTTTCTCTATTTACATATACAATATATATGTAAAATAAAAAATATGTAAATCAAAGCAACAGCCCCTTAATTCCTCCTCTCTATTCTAAAAGTAGTAATGCCTTTTTCTGCACTGCTTCATTTCTAAAACAATCCACGTCATATGACCTGCATTATGTTGATGACGTATCAAATTCGGAACTTAAAATTTTTTCTTAATAGGCTGACATATTGGATAACTGCTCACTTTTGCTTCTAGCTGTCTTGCAGTTAAGACCCTGGCGTGCTGCTTTTCATCCTATCGCAATAGTATCGAAAATGTAAATGCTGTTGAATAGGCATGATTAGAGTGCCTAGTGAACTGTGCCCGCAAATGTCAATTGAAATAGAGATGAATATTTAATTCGCCTCGACTGCCAAGTTTGCTGTGCAATATGGATCAACGTTCTACGCCATCAATATTACTTCTAAGTTTGCTTTATTACACCCACCCACCCACATACATATATATATATATGTAAGATAAAATTATATGAATCAGAATAACTAAAAATTAATTCTTCCTCTTTATTCTAAAATCGTAATAACTTCTCTGCATTGCGTCATTTCTAGATCACTCTATGGGCCGCGCAACTCTGATGACGTAATAATTAAGAACTGAAACTGACCTTGTAAACCAAAACTTTTCTCTTCACGTACTTCCATCTTTCATAACGACGCACTTCAGCTTTTGCCCTCTACTCTGCTAAGATGTAATTTCGCTGGCTTGCTTTCTATCTCAACAATATCAAAAATGTAAATCTTCTGTGGAAAGGCACGACTAGAGTGCCAAGTGATTGTGGCCACAAATATCAATTGGAAATAAAAATGGAATTAAAACTGCTTCGACTGCCAAGTTCTTTAGATGTTACCAAGTTTGATTACTAGCATACTACGCAATCAAAATCTTCTTCAATATGGGTCTAATCACGCATCTACAGTGTTCCGTCATTTCCTTTGCTTTTATTATTACATATATACGAGGGCTATTTTTTTTCAACCTCCGATGGGCTATAAAGAAAAGACGGGTGAATACATAAAAAAGATTTTATTACCAAACGTAATGAACAATACAGGTTATTTCTCTACATAATCACCTTGACGATTGAGGCATTTGTCATATCTGTGAACAAGCTTTGCAATACCCTCTTCATAAAATGTCCCCACCAATGATTGGAAGTGAGTTGTGACGGTTTCTTTCAGCTCCACGTCATTTTGGAAGCTCTTCCCGCCAAGCCACTGCTTCAGTTCAGGGAACAGATGAAAGTCACTCAGCGCTAGGTCGGGATTATATGGTGGATGTTCGAAAATGTCCCATTTAAATTGCTGAAGGAGCCGTTGGGTTACACGAGCGCTGAGAGGACGGGCATTGTCGTGGATCAGAACAATTCCAGAAGTCAGCATGCCTCTTCGTTTCTTTTGAATAGCACTCCGTAAGCGTCGCAAAGTTTCACAATATGAATCTGCATTAATTTTTGTTCCAGGCTGCATAAACTCCACAAGCAACACACCTTTTTGGTCCCCCAAAAAAAGTTGCCATAACCTTACGGTTGTCAAAGGTTCGTTTGAATTTTGTGGATCTCTTTGGAGAATTTGTGTGCATCCATAGTTGTGATTGTCGTTTCGTTTAGGGCGTGTCATATTGAGTCCATGTCTCATCACCTGTCACAATGGATTTCAAAACTCTTCTCCGTCAGTATTGTAACGGTCAAGAAACTCAAACGTTGCAACCGGCGAGTTTTGTGGTCATCAGTCAACATCTGTGGGACCCAGCGAGCGCAAACTTTTCTGTAGCGCAACTGTTCAGTAACGATACAGGGAAGATCTTGAAACTTCCGGAAATTTCATTGGTAATTCACTTATGGTCAACCTTCGATTTTTCTTAACCGCTTGGTCAACTCGTTGAACAATGTCGTCTGTAGCGACAGACTTGCGTCCTTAACCCCCTTCATCATGCACATCAGTTCGGCCAGTTTAAACTTTCGATACCATTCACGAACAACGCCATCACTCATAAAACTGTTTCTATACACTCGACTCATTCTTCGATGAATTTCCGCTGCACTGTTCCCTTCTGCCTGCAAGAAACGAATGACAGCTCGCAGTTCACACTTGGCGGGAGAATTAATAGCGACAGCCATGTTTATGTGACCTGCAACTCAACAGAAAATGGCGTGTTGAATACGCAAGTGACAGAGCGTGTGGAGGGGGAGATGCGCAGTCGCTTATTACGCACACCAACCACCTGCCGCATACCTGGCCATCATACTGTGCGATCTGAGGTCGAAAAAAAAAACCTACGTATATTATATATAAAATGTTTTATGATATTAAATTCAATATATATATATATATCATAAAAATGCTAATAATAATAATTCATAAATCAATATACACCGGGATCCCAAGAGAAAAAAAGAAGGAAACACAAAACAGTACCTAAGTGCCTTGAGGTAATATTATTGTGCATTTCTTTTCCCTTATTTTTCCTTTCAAACGAATATTGCTGCTACTACTAGGAATTTTAGGTCTTTTGACTTACAATTTAGCCTATACCCTTCTTAAATTATGAAATACCTGACTTTCCAAATGAAAAACAACCCGTTGTAGATGTGTATTTCGCTGTTCATCAATGGCATAGCTTTCAGGATATTGTTTGATTAGAGTTTCCATCTCCTTTTACAGTTTCTTTTCTGCCTACATAACATGAATTAAATTAAAAATGTAAATTAGCAAATATCAATCTTGACTTTGACCCTTAAACACTTAAACCTTTTAATTCTATAAAATTAGTCCTTTTAAACTCAAAAATGAAATAAATGATAGTTATCTAATGGCTCTAAGTTCTTCCATTGAATAATAGTTTTGCAAATATGCCAATTATTCAACTTTTTATTCAACATGCCAATTTTTTATCTGGTTATTTAATAATGTAATAACTTAGAAAATATTTGAACAGTGTGTGCAGACTTAGTGTAGTAAATTTAACCACTAATCAAAAATATCATTGGGATACCAACACCTTCTGTGAGATAATTCTGATTTATTCAAGAAATGAATTTGAATTAAATTTCTACAGTTTCAGCTTAACAGAATGTAATTCTTTGAGTTTTTAAGGTTACAACTGCGCATCCTTCCCGTCATTTCCGTAAAATACTTCATAAACAGACATCTTTATTAACATCTACAAAGACTAGCTAGGAATGCCAAAACGAAATAGTTACGTGATTAAAACTATCTTTGTCTTGCGTGGAAGAACGAGATGTCTACGTAATACCTACATGACATAAACATAACATTCAATGACATACGTACATAACACATGCATAACAATCTATGTCACTGATACATAACACGTTCGAGAAAAATTTTTCAGAATAATCTTCTTTGAATTTAATCATTTATAGATTATTACCTAAATTATGAAGATTTTCAGTGTGCTGGGCTTCGATGACAAAGGCAGGGATAAGATTCGTAGCATTTGGGGTAATTAAAGTCAAAATTTCATGCTTAGTCTCTTGAACCAGTACATGTAACCACACACACATGTTTGTTGCAATCATATGCATAAGTCCAAACCTCGCCAAAGTCCTATACTTGCTGATCGCCATCTATGAAAGTAAAACAGCTACATTAGACGTTTCTTGTAAAAAAGGCTTAACTAAATATTTTAGCTTATGCATTGGTTTTACTAATTTAGTTTAAAACAACTAAAAAATTGAAGGCAGGAAGCTTTCTAAAACCTGCTTTTAAATGATTAAAAGATTAAAATGATTTAAAAGATTATATAGTATAACAAAATGTCATAAACATAGTGTCGGTTAAGTAGTGCATGTATTAAATTACTTAAGAAAATATGTCTCTCCCATTCAATACTTTTTAGTTACAGATTAACATAAGATTTACTGGTACTTACTCGTGAATTCAGGAAAATGAAATAAAGTTGTATGAATGTGAACGCCATTCTGCTACTTGGAGTTAAGGCATATAATATATTGTAACAATGAGAATCTACTTCTAATTCAAAAAACTGTCCGAATTCCAGTCCTGAGTAGATCATGCTACCAATGCCGAAAGCTGAAATATAAATAAAGTTTTTAATTTATGTAACATGTTACGATATTAAAGAAATTTTTGAAATTTTTAACTTCGCTTTAAATTTTTAACTTTTGTTTATAATTATGCTTTTAACTGATTAACGTTAATTTCCTTGTTAGTTATTTTCCCTTATTTTTATGTTCTGTAATTGTTTTTTGAAAATATAAAAGCGTTTCTGTTCATATTTTACATTTTAACTGCTCAGTAAATAGTCACTGAAAATAAAGCGGAAGTTAAAACTACTTATTTTTAAAGACAGCTATATTTTATAAAATTTGAACTGATGTCGAGACTCAGAAGACATTAATTTGAGATATAAAAAATGCTTTGGTGTCAGATAAAGTAGTTTGATTCGGGAAAATTGTGATTCATAGATAAACGTCCACATAAGAATCTCTATATTAAAGACTCACCCTCAGTGCAATGCCAGGCTTTCAGTGGGGGAATAAAGAGAAATGATTGATCATTTTAGCGATGGAAACAATAGTACAAGCCTCGATGATTATTTTCAGACGTTCATCTTTTGGAGAGAGTTTTACAGAATTTACTGTTTTAGAGATAGTTTTCCAGGTTTTGGTGGTTAATTGTATACGATAAACATTTTAAGCTACTTGTTTGTAATTTGATTCTAAGCTTTGAGTTACGATTATAAAAATTCTATCAAATATTTTCGTAAGGATTTCGCGTTTGACATATACACAGATAGAGTTTCATGACGCCAGACAAAAATACAATATTAATAAAAATGCTTTGTTGAAGCCTCGAGTATGTACTCTTGCCTCTATATCTAATCTTTAAAATCGAATGTGTTAAATGCTGTTCAAATCTGTGCATGTTATGATAGAAAAAGTTGAGTAAAGATTTAGGATAGCTTCTGTTAAATAGATAATATGTGAATACTAAAGATTAAATATGGTATGCTCCCTACAACAAAGCCTCTTTTATATGAAATAACTGAAAACGGCAAATTTCACTAATCCTATCTTCTTAGTCCTTGCATTTCCAAAGATCATGTATAGCGAGACAACTACAGAGAATTCTGACTTACATATCTATACTATGGAATGAAGGATCTCCTTAATTACACAGTTAAAAGACTTTTTGAATGGTTACTGAGGACTCACAAAATTCCTTTCCTGAATAATAGTATTTTTGTCTAGTTTGAGAGCCACACTTCTTGCATAAGAATAGCTTGAAAAAATAAGAGGAGGCAAACCAATTATTTTTTGATTTAAAAAAACTCAAAGAAAAGTCTTTTTTTTTTTTTGCAAAATTTGAGCCAAAATATTGTTTACGCAATGTTAAATATACCTGATAGATTTTGTATCAAAATCTTAATTAGAATGCATATCTCTCTTTGGAGTAGGCTCTGGCAGCCATTAATTCATGTAATATGGAAAAGACAACAACAACAATAACCACAATTAGAATGCATATAGAAACCTTTTTTTGAATAGCTGTCTGCATTTAAAAAGTCGTAAAACTTCAAACTTTAAATGCAGTTTTCCTGTTTTTGTATTTTTCTTAGTTGTATGGCATTTAAATTCGTATAACTCAGAAAATAAGTTGCTCATGTGAGTATTGCGAGCAGAGTGTAAAATCAAACATTTGATAGTTGAATCATCAGTCCGCTCCCACCAGAACTTGAAGATAATTGATCTACGATTTGTCTTTGCAGAATGTGTAAGTTTCTCTGTTCTACTTTTTGCATGTAGCAACAGGACTAGTAAACTTGATATAATATAGAGTTTGTGAAAGCCATGTAGAATGGCTCACTTATTTTGTATCACATATTTCGCATCGCTTCTTTCATATTTAGAACTAGTGTAATCAAATAAAAGTGTAGGAAATTCTGCCCATGCCCATGTGTGGTGCGATTTGTTTAGTGAACCAGTCGCATTGAAACATGTTAAGTTTCTGCCATAAGTAATAAAATTATTTCCATATTTTCCGTTAGTTGCTAAACGTACACATGATGAATGCTATTTTGAAACATTCTATTAAATTATTAAACACTTTTTAATAGCTATTAAAATTTAAAATTTTACAAAGCATTTAAAAAGCTCTAGCAATTAGATAAAAGGTCAAAACAAAAACATATCCGAGTGAGGATTGTATCCAAAATAGCTTTTTAAGACTTTGAGTTTCTTTAAAAAAGACATTGAATAAGTTATTAGTACCAAAAAATTACGAGTTATATCCGTTTAAAAATTAAATTAAATCTTTTTCTTAGAGCTGAAATATTTTATCATAACTTCTTCTTAACTCTTGAAATATAACGAAATTGTTTTTTAAAAAAGTTCAACTTCAGTGTTCTTTGCCTTTAAATACACTCATGTCCATAAATTAAGGATATTTCGGAATCACGCGGAAATCGAGCTCTAAAATAAATATATCACCTGTAAAATCAATACACAGATCTTCAAGAACCATATGCAAATTTCAGGAAGTAACCAGATGACACCGATGGTACGTCACAATGACGAGAGTGTAAGAGAGTGATATATAAGGAATACAGGCAAAGAAGTAAAATTGCTCCAGCCTGGGCAAACTACAAAGCAAACGAAATTAGCAAACTCCAAGTGCTTCAAAATAAGGTGCTAAGAATCATCACAAAAGCTCCTTACTATGTTCGGAATAGGACTCCTCCACTCCGAACTTGAAAATAGGATACTATTCAGGACTACCTCAGCAGAATAAACAACAACTTTTTTAATAATATTATCAATGTGAATCCCACTAATTTCACGGACATTCTTATCTACGAAATCCTGGGCTGAAGACAAAAACCTCCGCCCATTTGCCGCCCACCTCTTGAGTTCAGAATTCTAAGTTCCAGTTTTCTGGTTTTCAAGCAGCATCGATCGGGGTCAGTTTCTGGGAGGGTGACCTCCCACGTGACTGGCTCCGACGAATGGACAGTTAGTATTCGGGCTATCTTACACAGGTCATCCGAAGTTTCTTTCTCCGGCCCCTGCTAGGCGGATTCCATCCAAGATGTAGCAGTACAGGAGCAAAAAAAAAAAACAAAAAAAAAAAAAAAAAAAAAAAAAAAAAAAAAAAAAAAAAAAAACAAAAAAAAAATAAAAAAAAAAAAAAAAAAAAAAAAAAAAAAAAACAAAAAAAAAAAAAAAAAAAAAAAAAAACAAAAAAAAAAAAAAAAGTGTTTTTTCTTTTTCTCTCTCCAGCACACTTCTACCTCCACGAGAGAAATTTCTTTCAGGTTTCTACTCTGTCAGGCCCCACATGGGATCACATCAGGAACTGGCAAGAGAAGGACTTTAATTTCCTGCTGAAAGCCAGTATAACCGCAAAGTTCCAAAGTTCCAAAGAAAAATTGTTCGCAGGCGCTTTATAAGCATTTCAGTGAAATAACCGAATAGTTATGACATAAACGACGCATTTGGATGATTTTTTACGTGGTAGAATTATCGCCCGTCTGGAATGTGGGCGTACCCAACTGGAAGTATCAGACGAAGATGGAATTGCCCAGAGTGTCATCTCCAGGCTCTGACAACGATTCCAAGATGATGGTAATGTGAGTAGACGTTACAGCACAGGTCGCCTCAGAGTTACAACGCCGAATGAGGACCGGTATTTGGCAGTTACTGCCAAAAGAAACAGGCGGAGCACAGCCTCACACCTGTCTCGTCAGCCCTCTTCAGCCACTGGTACGACAATTTCAAGGCAGACCGTGTACAGACGCTTAGGGCAGATTGGTCTTATATGTTCGTAGACCTGTCAGATGCGTTCCACTTACTGCAACTCACTGTCGCCTGCGGTTAGCCTGGAGTAGAGAGCATGCACTGTGGACACCGCAACAGTGGGCTTGTGTGATGTTTTCCGACGAGTCCAGGTTTAGCTTGCAGTCTGATTCTCGACCGGGACTTTCATATGGAGAGCTCCAGGTACCCGTTACCACCAAGAAAACATCATTGAACGACACCGTTACGGTGGTGTAGGAGTGCTCGTTTGGGGTGGAATTATTCTGGGTTCCAGAACTGACCTGCATGTTCAAATTGGAATCATGACAAGCCATATCTATCGGGACGTCATTCTGGAACAACATGTACATTTGTTTCGGGGCGCCATGGGCACACAATTTGGGTTTATGGATGACAACGCCAGTCCTCACCGTGCAAATATCGTAAGCGAATGCCTTCAATCGGAGGATATCACCCGTATGGACTGGCCAGCATTCTCACCGGACTTGAATCCAGTAGAACACGTGTGGGACATGCTTGGCCGACGAGTTGCAGCCCGTCAACCTCCTCCTACATGTCTACCGGAACTTCGGAGAGCATTGCTTTTTGAGTGGTGTAATATCCCCCAAGATCAGATCGATAATTTGATACTCAGAATGCCTAGGCGTTGTACGGACTGTATTGCATCGTCTGGGAGACATACAATGTATTAACAATCATACCAACCATGTAATATTGGTTTTTTGTAAATAGATTTTTTTTTTTTTTTGTAATTTGCTCCAGGGAGAAAAAATCGCTATTTTTTTTAATAATATCAAACATATAGCATCTTTTTTTGCTCTTTACCTTTTGTTTAATAAATAAGCTTTACAAATAAGTCAAATATTTTTGCTTCTAACTCTTCCTTTGCCTTATTTTGCATTATCCTTAATTTATGGACATGAGTGTAGTTGGAAGTAAATAGTAGATTGTTCCGTATTAGGGTTTATAATCAAGAAAGCTTTTATAGGATTGGATGGTAAGTTGTTTGCTCTTTACTCTCCGTAAATACAGTTATGAGGATCAATAATTTATCCGTTATGTGAGTAGGTAAATTTGCTTCGTTAGTTCTTTTCTGCTGTGTTTTGTACTGTTGCTTGTTTATGTTGCACTTAATTAAGAGTACTAAGCAACTACGATTAGTGATATTTCACCTTCTCTAGTTTAAATTTCTAACAAGCAATGCATCTTAAAATTTTTGAATTTTGTATTTTCAAGTGCAATCATGATTTTATGACATACCAACGGCTCCAAGTCGCAGATAGAAGCTCCCGCAGTGGGCTGCATCATTGAAACGCCGTTTATTTGCTTGTACGGTGCTACCTTGTTCCATAGTGCTCAAACTATTTGCAACTGATCCTACCCGCCTTAACACTTGCTTGAAAAAGGATTGAGCTTTAGTATTTTTCGGAGATTCTGACCTCAACAGGAACAGATAAACGTAAATCAGGAAAATTATACTCCCCAAGTAAAGGTAAAGGTAAAATCCCTGTAAGAGAAGAGAGTTTACGTTACAAATACGGGAAATAAATGCTAAGTTTAGTATAATATAGACAAAATAATTGTAAAATTACTTCATAATAGGATGCTGGAATCTTGTGAGAGATAACTTCTGCTAAAGGGAAGCTGATACCCATTACGACCAAAAGTTTGGCATACACTGCGCTTAACATCACAACGAGTGAGTCACTGAAAAAAATTTAAACTGTTTACTTTCGCAAGACATGTATTGACAGGTTATACAATCTAAACATTTATCATTGGTAATATCTTCTTCCCCTAAAGAAATTAAACACAGCAAAGCAAGTCAAATTAATTTCACGAATAACTGCAGTAAACGCACACATACCGCACTGCAAAGTCTATGAGGCATGGATTTAAACGGACAAATGTAGCGAAAAAGATGGTATAAAATATTCGGAGTTTCTTTATCTTTAGGACCGAATATATTATTTTCAAAATGGGTAACTGAAAATGCTCTACTCTGTATTATACCGCGTAAGAGATGTATTTTATTAGTTAATGCTTCATATTGAATGCGAAATACTAGTTAACTAAAAATATGTTTAAAATTAAAGGAGCGTTCTAAGAATGAGCAGTTTGGAAGAAAAGAATGCATTTTTATTATTTGTATCATTCATCAAACCTTTAGTAGTATATTTAAACCTATTACTTATTTAGCCTCCGTACGAATCGCAAAATACTCGATTGGCTTGTTTTTATAAAAAAGAACTAATTTTTTCACATATTATTTTCGAGAATAATGTTATTTTTGATTATATTTAGAAACAAAAAATATGTTTCTAGATTTTCATCATAGAAGCTGAATTTTTATGGCATGTCTCAAATTAGAAGCCCCTGGCGATTTTATTTCCGTCATCTTATACGGCTAAAAGGCACTAATAGCAATATATAATCTTAAGATAGCAAATATATAATCTTGAGAAAAATATATGAACTCGTAACTCCCCTGAGAAGAAAATGTGATGATCAGTGCGATGTTCCTGGTGTGTGTTCCCGAAGTATAAACAGACTTTTCTGGAGCCGCAGAATATCGGCTACTGGTTTCGACTGATGATGTGAAATTGTTTTTGGCGTGTGTTTCTGTTCCGGAAGCATAAATAGACATTTCTGCACCCATAGAATATTGGCTACTGGTTTCGACTGATGACGTGAAATTGTTCCCGTCTTGTATTCTTGTTCCCGAAGTATAAATAGACTTTTCTGGAAGCGTAGAATATCGGCTACTGGTTCCGACTGATGATATAAAATTTTTCTCGGCGTGTATTCCTGTTCTCGAAGCGTAAATATGCTTTTCTGAGCCCGTAGAATATCGGCTACTGGTTGCAACTGACGATGTGAAATTGTTCCTGTTACCGAAGCTTTTCTGGACACGTAGAATATCGACTACTGGTTTCGAATGCTGTGGAATTGTTCCCAGCGTGTGTTCCTGTTACCAAAGCATAAACAGATTTTTCCGTATCTGTAGAATATAGGCTAAAGGTTCCGACAGCTGATATGAATTATTCTGTCGTTGTGTTCCTGTTTTCTGAAATATTATAATGAGATTGTTCGGAACTGATATTTAACGATACGAATACTGAACGTTACGAAATTATTGAACTGCGTTAAGTACTGTAAGTGACAATGTTAAGGACAGGCTTCATTACATTTGTAGTCCAATTCTCAGAAAATTAACCTTCAGCATGGCGTATCCTGTAGTCTGTTAAATGCAAGTACTTTTCACCTCCTCCTTATATGTAGTGATATTTATGTAAAACTAAATGACTTTGTGTATGTGTGAATTTAATATTTTAATGTGGTATTTAGAATATTATATTTCAAATGTGAATATTTATTCGGGAATTTAATCCCAAGTTCAAATTAATTTGTATTTGTATGTCTATTTTGATCTTAATAAGTTATTGGGGGTACTTAGGGAAATGTGTAAAGAAAATGAATAGTTTAGTAGCTAAGATTTTAAATTTATTTAGGATAATATTTTATATCCACAACAGATACAATTAAAGAACTGTAAGCTATATTGTAAATCAAACCTTGAGTTAATTATTTGTAGTTGTGATTGTACTATTATTATCAAAATGTTCTTTTGAGTTGTAAATATTTATAGATGTGCGAATGTAAGTGTAAAAAGTTATTGGTCTTCATTCTTCTCAGTCTTTAAGTTTTCAAACAAGTTATCTCATCGATGTTTAATGGGAATTGAAATAAATGTATTGTCTGAGTCAAATTTCAATTTTTACTTTTTTCTTTAAAAGTTAAGAAGAAAGACTTTCTCTTAATTTTTAAGAAATAATTTAAATTTCAAAACCCCATACGCCCATCTAAATCTAGTATTTGTATATTAATGAATTTATTCTGGTAGAAAAGAGACGTTATAGTTTCTTCCTAAACTGCATTGAAATACTCGAGGAAAGTAACTTGATGCAGCTTAATAGTAAAAAGCTGAAGAAGTTCTACGTGATAGATTTGCATAAATAATGGAAAATTTTGCAAGACTGCCGTTTCATTGGAGCTCAGTCCTTTATTACCATTGTTGCTCTAGTAGTGAATGCAGTAGTTAGATGTGTAGAGCTACTGCATTCGCTACCGTTACAACGCTTTGTTACTGTTGAACTAAATTCCAACGAAACTGCTGTCAGTTCTATCCTAACACCACCGTAACAGTCTGATTTGGGAACGTTGGACTAAGTTACAACAAAACTGCAATCAGCGATAACATGTTTACTTATTTTGTTAATAGCTACATTGAAATTTTTCCTTTTTTATCATGCATTGAAGAGTTTAATTTGGAATTAACTCCAAATGAAGGCTCTTATTTTCCCGATTACTAAGGAATCCATTCTATTGTAAGAGATCGGCACTTATAAAATTAAATAAAAAGCTATACTTACTTTTCGGATGAAGATTCTCGAAAAAACAAGAAACCTTCCTTTCTGCTCAAGGTAGGTGTTGTTGGCAAAGTGTTCATAGATCCAGCGAAAGAACTTGCCCTTGATACACCTCCTATATCTAAATGTAGAGAAGGCGTTCTTTTACGGTTTAGATGAGCAGTAACTGCGCCTAATCCTGAATCATCACTAGAACGGGAAGGAATATTGGGTCGAATATTTGTACAACCAGTATCTGCAAAAATAAATATTAAAGAATTATATTTTTTATTATAAAATATTATACATAAAGTTATATTTCCCATTATAATGCGTTAATCTGTGTTGGTCCATTGGTAATAATTTGCAAAGATAATACGAATTTTTAATATTATGACAGTTTTGTACTGAAACGGAAAAGTAATGATCCTTGTGGCATTTTATGATTCGGATATTATACATGTGCTAATTATTCATGCACAGCACTATTTTTAATCATAACCGACGAGTTTTAGAATCCTTCTCATTTTCATACTAAAATCTTTCATTTGCTGACATATTTTTTCACAAAATGCACATTTAAAATGCTAGTACAAACAAGTGTCATATTAATCGCATGGTTATGGAAGTTTGTATTAGCATTTAAAAATGCTGAGTTGCCCTTCATTAATTTCTATTAAATGTTAAAAGTAAAAATATTAATAATTACAAATTTTCTTGTTCCGAGTTTTGATAATAAAGACAATTCCAGATTTACTTCTTAAAATATCCATAATTATACGCGTATATGCCCGCAGGATAATTATTATGTACATGCGAGTAATATGGATGCTGCTATGCCACAAGTAAGCTGTAATGTATAAAATAAGTAAGCCGGTCATTGAATAAATAAACAAAATCAAACCCAAACTGATCATAAATTTAAGCTATTAAATGTATTTAAGGACATGTCTGTAATAATCTTTACATCAATAAATTTAATAATTGAGTACTCTCAGACCTTGTCAGGAAAATTCTCTATTCCCCTAAACCCAGAGATTCCAGTAATACTCAAGATAATCCTTCAGCCGCTGCTGAAACTAATAACTTGCTAGATACTGCAGATTTATTATATTCAAAGAACCGAATAGCTTCTAAAGTAAGCATTAATAATCCGAATAGTGTACTTAATCTCAGATCTACGTTAAGCGAGTTTCAATCACTATTTGCCAAAAGCAAACTTAATATCTTTATTTCTATTCATAATAAACACATGCCTGCACTGAAAAATTGTTCTACCACCACTGATAAAGTGCATATTTTATGCAAATGAGAGCAGAAATAAACGAAAATGCCACTGCTTAGTTAAGTCCTTAGCATCTTTGAAATCTTCAAATTTATTCCTTGTGTTTCCTTCTAATTTACGCTCCCCCCTTTCGGCATTCCTATACCCCTTGTCCATGATCAAATCTCCTCTTAATTTTTGTACTTTCTATTAACTGATTTCTTGTTTTTATTCATTTTATCCTTATTTCCAAGTCCTAATTCTGTCACCGTAAATGTGCTGCCTATCTTAATATGAGAAAGCCTGCTCTACTCATATGCCATACCCTTTTTACCAACAGCTAATACCTAAGCTTTGCAGATCCAGACAATCTCCTGATTCGTTGTCATCACTTAAATACTCCTCTACCTGCCTGTACCTACATTCGTTCATTTGAACTTTGGCCATTCCATATGATGTTCACCTGACTTTTTTTTTTTTTTTTTTTTTTGGTCAGCACCTCAACGTCATAGCTGAACATTATCTCAAACTATTGCTAACCGTTCTTCACTATTGCTTGTCGTCACTACGAAATGAATTTTATGCTACTCAATTCTATCGTCAAGTCATGGACTTTTCTACTTTGTTATACAGGGATAGGGCTTCGGCTCTGGAACCTGAACTTCGTGGTCTTCGGCCACTTAAGCATGGGTAAAAAAATCTGAATGTTAATGCTATTTTGTAAGACTTACTTTAGCTAACATGCTATTTTTATGTTAATTACTTTCTTCATCTTTATTTTTTTTTCGTCAGCTTTCACTAGAATGTAAATTAGATTCGGTTTAGACAGCGAGCGAAATTGTAGTTTAGAGCTAGAACTGTGGCAGCCATCCCAGTAATTTGTAAAAAGAAAAGCCATGCACCTAGCTGACCTGTAGATTAGTGAGTGCATTTTGTATCTGTTAGTGCGTAGCATTGGAATCGACTGATTTAGACTGTGTGTATTTTACTGTTTTAAGTACCCGAGGTCCTGAAACCCGATTAGTCGGGTATAGCTAGTATTTTGTTAAATTTAAGATATAACTGCAGTTAGGAGAACTTCAACTCTTGTCTTTGTTACTTTAGTTAACCTTCTGCTTATTTGCGAAGATGATAATTCTTCGTAAAAAGTAAGTTTAAAAAGTTCCAAGTCGGAGAGTTAATTAGACTTAACTTTAAAATCTGAAAGAATATTTTAAAACATTCATAAATTTATGGCAAATAGTTGCCAAATTCACTACTAAATATCTTAAACAGCTCCTTGCACTGAATTTTGAGGATTTTAAACCAACAAACCATATGTCAAGATTTAAACTAATATTCTCAGTAAACTTTCATTGCTTAGAGGCAAGTAAATATATATATATAAATATTGTAAATATTGTATAATCAAAAATGGTGGAAGGATGATCTAAATAAGTCATCGTAATACTTCTTCGCATAAAAATAGCTTTTGAAAAACGGTGTAGTAAAAAGGGGAATATAATAAATTCACACCAAAAAAAAAAAAAAAAAAAAATGTTCGCAACGCCATTTATGCTGAGAACTACATTACAAGTGCTTTATCATTAAGTGTAAAGTTCATCGTAAAAACCCGATTGTGAAACTAGGATTACGATATTAAACAACATCTAAACATGGATAACATATTCATAAATGGGAAAACACGTGATTTTTTTACGAAAGTCAGAAACAGTCGAAAGATATGAAAATTGTTTTTGGACTCAGATTTCTTGAGAAATTTATAAAGATTTTGAATACTGAAGCATAAACAAAGATTATTTAAAGGAAATGCTATTAAAAATAAACACAAAAAGTAATTAAAAATAAACCCAAATTATACATCTAGAAAATGCATTAGAAAGACTGTCAGCTAGCAGAATGCCTGACGGACAGTGTTACCCGTTGTACAAAATTTAGTGGAACTCTACTTGGATTACATATTTCTGTATAGCACAGTACTCACAAAACGTAGTTTCATATAATGCTGTTAATGCTTTTGCAGTTTTGATAATGCTTTTGGATAATAAATGATATTGCACGAAACTCTGTCAGTGTGTTATGTCAGTCTGTTAGTATAAATCATATTCGCTACAGCTCGTCAGTTAATCTTTCCCTCCCCAGCTTTCTGGTACAACACACATTTTTATGCCGCCATTTTACAGAAATCACAATAATTTTAACATCACTCTTATTAAATGCTTCGTTACGATACAACAATTAAAACTTTTACTCAGAATTTTACAAGATGAAATGTAAAGTATTTATTTTTTGTTTTAAAAATCCAATTTTCCCTATAGATTTTTACTGTTTCTACGATCATTCGCTTACTTCAAAAGAACACGCCAAAACGCCAATTAGAAAATTAAGAACACAGGAACAAAAATTTGAAGTTGTATTACTGCTTTTTGATCTGGTGGCTGCATTTCAGTGCTTGCCATTGACTGACATTTTTTTTAAAAAATTGGTTAATATAATTTCACGTAATTAGATATATTAATGTAAATGTAAGTATTATGTGATGTACTAATGTATGTTTGAAGTAATTATGATATATTAATTTACAAATACAATGTAAGATTTCAGAAGTGTTGCAATTGTCTGTAACATGATCAAAATGAAAGGAAATGTGTTAACAAGATAATTGCCTTAGGAATACGACAATGTACTAGGAGATGCACAAAATATTTTACAATAATTAGTTCCTTAAAAATATTTAATGTAATTTGATGTAATTAGATATACTAATGTAAATGTGTTGTTTGTATGATGTACTAATATATGTTTGATATAATTATGATATATCAGTTTGCCATAATCCAACTTTTGTTAATCGATTTAGTTCACTGTAATAATTTTATACCTTGTTATTGTAATCGTATATCCAGTACGTCTAGAATTAACGTAAAATATATCTGTATATGTCAAAGATATATATATCATATATTTCTCAAAGATATATATAGCTTTATTTTATAATGTATAAAGATGCTTGAAAAATTTCTTCACTACCCAGGAAAACGTTTATATTTTACCTAAAGTATGTCTATTGACTCTTATCACTAACATGCATAGAGAAAAGCGAAAATGGCAATGAGCATTCGTTATTGTAGAAATAATATTGAAACAGAGTAAATCTCCAACATCGCTGGATCAACTAGTTGCAGTAAGATCATTAGTTATTTATTATTTTATTTGATAAAGATGTTTATTTCTTATGGAATGTCAAGGCAGATTCAAGCCACTAGTTCCGTGTCAGGAGGAATGCTTACTTAGATAATAATACATATCATCAATGATAAGGTTGTCTGATATCAAAATACTTCAACCAAGGGAGGAAACAAAAAAAATTCTACTTTTAAAGCTTCTGAGTTTCAGTCACCAAGTTAGGAAAGGGCAATTTTATGATTACTTGGGTTTCAGCATGATATGATAATGGCTTTTTATGTCTCCGAAAGCGTTACATTGAAGTTTCGAAACCTCGTTTAACGCAAATAAGAGGTAGTTAGAATACTCTAACAAATTTGAATGTGAAGTAGAAGCTATTAATAATGTAGCCCCGGGCTTTCAGTTAGAAATATTTTTGATTCCCTTCTTTATCTTTAAGCCCCCTCCAGCGGCTGAGTGGTTAAGACCACTGAATACTAGGAGGCTGACCTGGATTCGATCCCGGGAGAACAGCTTTGGCTGGATGGTTGGGTTTCCGTGGATTCCCCTTACATAATGTGAATATGAGCCAGTTTGCCTTAAAACGTCCACTTTCGTAGAGGTCAATTTTCAATTCAGGCGACACTCATATATTCGTTTTTGAGTTTTTCGATACCAGGAAACTGAAGAAATCCTCCCTGCCCTCACCGAAATTCGAGCTCCGGACCTCTAGATTACGCATCGGAATTGCTTCCAGTTAGGATCCGAAGACAAGCGGAAAGGAGGGAGAAAATACCTTGTAAATTTATGAAACATAATGTACATTA